CTCCTTGTTTGCCGGCTGGCCCAGCCAGATCTAACAACGCAAACGCCGCTTTTTGTAACTTGTTTCTCCTCTGCCTGCCATCCCTAATGATAAACAACTGGCGTACCCTTGGCCGGCATAGTTTGCTGCAGGAGACAGCCGCTGCTTGATCCTTGAATGGCATCACGTGTGCAGGTGGTGTTCTCAGAAGGGACACACTGCACCTGACCCTGGAAGCAGCACCTCTGGATTTCATCTCTGCTTTCTAATTTATAATCTACATTGTCTGTTGTCCAAAGTTTGATATTTATATGGTATGCTGCCCAATAATGAATTTATCTAGTTCTTGACAAATATACAGAAGGAATGATTTACGTTTGCTTCACATTTATTTTGGAGCACATAACCTCTGCTGCATTTACTGTGTGCCTCTGTAGCGTTTGGGACAATCTCTGCTTCCCAGGTCTTAAACCACCTGTTACACTCCCTTTTCTCTTGAGTTGTGTGACCTTCTGGTCACAGCAATGAGCTGTAAGAGCCAAGGCTGCTGTTTCTATGTTCTCCCTCCTCTGCCCTTCAGCTGGCTGGCTGGTGTCCAGTCACTTTACATCTAAGCCTTAGTCCCCCTTTGCGTAAAGTGCACGTACGTTCTTTCCTCACTGATCTGTGCTCCGTGGCTCCCAGCTTCTCATGCAAATGATCTGCCAATATCTGTCCTGTCCCACTTACACAAGGTGTGAGTAAAGGAAGTACAGTCCTATTTTCCAGTAGCCTCAACATTATTAAATGCTTTCATTTTTTACTTTCCTTCCTTTTTTCTAGCTCTGTAGCAATGTGCTCTGGGAGGCCTCTGGTGATTTGCTGTGCCTCTGCTAGCTGCTCCTGCCCTTTGTGCTCTGATGCTGTATCTCCTGTCTCGCAGGATCGGTGTTTGTCCCTCTCAATGGAGTGTGGCTGTCTGGATCCATAATGAAGACCAGCCCTCACAGGCCCTTAATTCTCAAAAGACGGAAGCCGGTCCTGCCACATGAGGATGCAGCCAGTGCTTCAGCACGGAATGAGAACACTGCTCAGGATGAAAAGATCCCTAGGCAGGAGCACAAACAAGAAGGCCAACACAACAGCCAACCCAGAGACAAAATGGACTGTGGCCTGCAGAAATTTGCAGCAAGAATAAAGATAATTGACCATCCTACCATGCCCAACACACAAGTGGTGGCCATCCCTCCAAATGCCGATATCCAGAGCATCATAGAGGCACTGACAGCAAAAGGAAAAGAATGTGGCAACAATGGGCCCAACAAGTTCATTCTCATTAGCAGCGGGGGCACATCCCGTTCAGCAGCTCCAGCATCATTGCAGCAGCTCCCAGAGAAGAAACCCAGTGCAGCCACCAGGGCTGCAGATGGTCAAGAAGGAGAGAAGGATGTTACAAAGACACCCGGTCCTGCAGGAGGAACAATGATCTTGCATTCAGGAACTGATCCTGTGGCTGAACAGGAGAGCAACAGTATGTAATCTGCTCTTTTCTGAGTCCTGACAGACAAACTAACTGATGTGAGGGGGCCAATGAGGGCAGTGCTTGGATCTCAGGGCACAGTCATGGAAACAATGTCATTATTGACAAAACAGCTGTGGAATGGATTCTAATGATCTGTAGAGCCATGCACAGGGAGTGAAATCTGAACGATCTTAGCAGATGGATTTTGGGTGGAAAAAATGGCATATAAAGGTATATAGCAAAGCTAAATTTTAGTGCTGGGGAAGAAGGAAGGCCTGGCTTGAGGAAATTTGGTCTAGACAAACAAAAGACTAAGCTTAATTGAGAAAAAGGGTTATGGCTGAATTCAAGACTAACATAAAGTACTCTAGTCAGTGACAAAACAGGCCTAGAACTTTGAAAAAGCTTTTAATAACCAAGTGGCCAGCCTGTTTCCTCCTTGGCTGTCTCATGAAGTTGCTTAATAACTGTTAGAAGTGGGATGGATCTGACTCTGAAACACTGCTCAGATCAGATTTGTATTTGCAAGTTAAAATAGTTACGTAGCTTTTGGGCTGTAGCAAATCTTATCCCACAGTACTGTGCTGTCTGACAGGTCTAGACAGCTGTAATAGCTGCATTGCTACAATCAGCAGAATAACAGAACTGGGTTAATTTTCATTGCTGCAGCTCAGAAACCTGGAGTCACCTGAGCTTCTGACCTGGGTCTGTTGCTAGGTGTTTCAGC